GCGCGCAGCTTAAGCAACTGATAAAAGTGACAGAACTGTTGACAGGTTTTTGAAACCCAGTGTAATTACAAGGAAACAGGAGTAAAAAAAAGGATGTGATGTGGGTTTGCTTGTAACTTGATGGTGTTCAGGGAGAAGAGACTTTAGTGGAGCCTCCCTCTTTCCTGAACTCTCAGAGAAGGACCAGGTCACACAGGGAAAATCTGTACAGCAGTGAACATGGTGGGTGATGGAGCCCTCCTCTGAGTTAGCGGCCTTTTTCAGCACTTAGAGGGATGTATTGAGGCTCATTTTTTTCCTGGAAAGGATCGTTCTAGAGAGTTTCAGTTTTGGAACAATGGTGTATGAAGTGACAGGCTAGTACAAAACTATCTGTACCGAGAATGTTATAAACTAAAAGTGAAGGAAGGCAGCAACATTGACTCAAAGAATAGAGTGTGTCTGATATCCAGAATTAGCTATTCTCATGGCTTAGAGCTATTATTGGTTGAGTATATGTCCTGTTTTCAGACATCTTTGTCAAAGAATTGTATTCGAACTTACGATTATCAAATAAACTCCTTTCCTTGTTTCCCAAAGATTGATTTGCAGGAGATAAATAAATGCTCAGTGAAAAAAAAGAACTGCAAAGTAACCAAATAAGATCGCACGTCTTTGATTTAACCAAGTTAAAGTTTTCTTTTCTGCAAAATTCTTCAAAGCAATTAATATGCTAATGGATTCTGAATTGTAAGAGGGATATATATTATAGAGAAGTTTCAAAATTATTTGATCATGAAGCTCTTATGTTTGTGGACTCCAGCAATATATTGGGGGAAATTTGGCTTTCTTCCAGTCATAAAATGTTAGCTCTCGAAGGAGCCTGAGAACAACTCCAGTTTTAAACTTTAATTTTGCAAGGAGGGAGACCAGAATTTATAGGTTTTAAGTGACTTTCCCAAGGTCACACAGCTTTTTGGTGGTAAAGGCAGAACTAGAATTCGTATCTTCAGATTCCTGATCTGGTGTTCTTTGAATCTGGCCCGCAGTAAATAAAGTCACATGATGCAGTGACTTACAGCCAGGCCTGTTTGCCCACTTCCATAAACATGGTATTTCCTTCTTTGCCAGTGAAAATAATGAGGCTCAAAATTCTTTCCTTTGAATCCCAAATTGCCCTTCTGACAGCTCATACAATCTTCTCTAAAGCCTTGTTATATCTCTGAGGTTCCTGAGGGTTCAGTAGCCTAGGATTATTTTCTGTAAATTAGCCATATAGAGTAATATCATGTTCACTTGGATATCATTTCATATTGGTCCCTCCAGCAAAACTTAGAAAAGCTCCCCTTCTAGCATTCTGGTCCAAGGGGATGAGGCAGTTTTATATACTGACCTGTGGATAGTCTCATACCCCACAAGCAGAATTTAGAAAGGGCTTAAAATCTAGAAGTGGAATACCTTTGTGGCAGGTAATGGAGCAATGTGTATCGGAAATGTTTAAAATTTCCATACTCTAAATTTGAAGGAAGCATGGAAGTATGTTTCCATATTTAACTTCATTATTTGTCAATGCACTATTGTCATAATGGAAACTTTAATATAACCTGAATGTCCAGTAACATGGTGTTGATTAAATGAATCAAGGTATTTTTATGAAATACCATATAGCTGGTAGAAATTGTGTTGTAAAAAACTTTATGGAATGGTATTTAACACAGAACTTCCCAAGAGGTATGCCAGGACTGAGATACCAATGCCCTTTGTCCCCATGGGAGCTAGTCAGGATCTACTGTGGCCTGAACCCCCAGGTCAAATATCTCAAGCTGTCAAACAAAATATTACACATTTTTATAAACAGAGATATACTCACATGTCTGCTAAGGAATATACTTTCCCTACATTTGGATAGGGCAATACAAATGATCTTTATTTTCATGTTTTTGCTCATCTGCATTTCCCTTTTTTAGTATTTAGTGTTCTTTAATAAAAATAATAGACAATAATAATTTTAACTTACATAGCTCTTAATATACTTCATCTTGTTTTATCCTCAAGCAGGCCTATGAAGTAGGAACTACTATTATTCTTTTAATTATATAAGTGCTATTTTTAAATTCCATATTTGAAGCTATTAAGAACTGGACAAGTTGATGCAGGCAGCAAGCAAAAGGTGGAAATGAGACATATCTGGAAGGTAGAAATAAGAAAACATAGTTACTAATTGTCTGTGGGAAACAACTGTGCTCCCAGGATATTGAGGATTATCGTATTTGTGATCAAAACAGTATCAAGGAAATACAAGATTCTATAGAAGTTTTAAGAAGGCCTAGAGGAATGGTTAGTTTTCAAGAAGAATCTGAGGCAGGATCTTTACTTGTTGATATTGAGATGACAAAGCATGGTGGTGGAAATGTCCAGTGATGATGGAGCTCAGGTGAGACAGAACCTAAGGATGTAGTTTGGGTGCTCATCTACATTGGAGCCCCAGTAGAGCTATGCAAATGAGTGGATCCTCCTGAAAAGAGAATATGCAGAGAAGAGCAGGGTGCCAAAAACTTTAACCTTTAGTCTTTGTCTCCACAGGGGAGAACCCCACAAGCCCTATGAACTAGACCTCCATGTGCGGAAAGATGATAGAGCGGAATTCCGAGAGTCTTTGGGCATGGGTCAAGGTTGACAGTGCATGACATGTTCAAACAGTATTCTTCCATTGTTTTTCCTTAGATCAGAGATTAATTCATTTCTTTTTTTATTTTTTTATTTTTTATATTTTTTAAAGATTTTATTTATTTATTTGAGAGAGAGAGAATGAGAGACAGAGAGCATGAGAGGGAGGAGGGTCAGAGGGAGAAGCAGACTCCCTGCCGAGCAGGGAGCCCGATGCGGGACTCGATCCCGGGACTCCAGGATCATGACCTGAGCCGAAGGCAGTCGCTTAACCAACTGAGCCACCCAGGTGCCCTAATTCATTTCTTTTTTTAAAAAGTATAGGCTTATGGGGCATATGTTGGTGAGCAGCATCCTAGAAGGAGAGGCTCAAGGTGGAAGGTACCCTAGCTCTGTGAAGAAGTGATCAGAAATGGAAAAGATACAACTGACTCATGACAAATGCATGATATGCTGCATTTATGATGAAGAAAGGGATCAAGTTATGAAAGTGCAAAATGGAAGGTCTCTGTGTATAAATACAATGAGCAAACATCTAAGAGTCTCAGGGAGTCACAACTTGAACAGTAGTGTGCTGTATATATTTATGCTGGTGCGTTCAAGATGTTTATTAGGAAATATGTTTTTCAGGCAGTAGAAAGACATAAATGTAATAATGCAATTTCTTTGTCATATTTGGCATTAAGAAGAAATATATTAGAAATATAATAAATACATATCTCTTCAAGGTCCCAGTTTTAAGGGAATTCAAAGTTATTAAATAGAATGCAGAGGACATCAAAGAAAAATGAGTACATAACTGTAAAATATGCTTCTAAAGAAAGGTTAATGAACATACTATTATTTATTTTTGGAATCAGAAGACCAAAGGATAATTTAATGAGGATCAGGATCATTAATTTGTGCAAGATTATTGTACAGTGCTTTTTGGCATCTTCATTCCAGGTAGAATGATGGGAAATAAACTAAAACCGTTAATTAAAAAACAGTTCCCCAAAGGTACATGCACATATATATACACACATGCACAGACAATACAGACTCACTCACCCACATCCACACACACGTGTGTGTTTGTGTAAAGAGTCTGGAGGAGTATACATCAAATATAGGGTATACATCAAATACATTAATATAGTTATTATTTGTAGGTGGTACAGTTATAGGTGTTTTTATTTCTTTTATATGTGTATCTTCTAAGTTATGTATAGTCAACATGAAATATGTGTACAAAAAGAAAAATAAATTTAAAGCATTTTATAGACACAGATCTGTCACCTCCCTCTCATCCCTATCACTATGTCAACCCTTAATCTGTAAAACTTATTTTTTTGTAAAAGTCTGTGTAACAGTCCTAGCCCCCTGTTTTATCTTCTTCAGATGCTGGTGAAAAATAACCACCTTTCCGACAAGATCATTGTTGTGCCAGGGAAAATTGAAGACATCTCTCTTCCTGAGGCTGTGGATGTGATCATTTCTGAACCGATGGGTTACATGCTGTTTAATGAAAGGATGCTGGAGAGTTACCTTCATTCCAAAAAATGGCTGAAAGCAAACGGTGAGTTGGCCAATTCCTGGTTCAGAATAGAAGCTGACAGTGCCATAAGAGTTTGCCCTCCTCTTTACCCCATATTTAATTTTGGACGGAAAGGAGGAGAGGGCATTTCTATTATACCAGTTTTTTTTTTTTTCTCATCTTAATCTTCCACAAGAGATGAGCTAGTCTCCAGCCATAAAGCCATAGGTGGTAGGTAGCATGCTGCATGGTATTAAATATGGTACAGAGGACCAGTTCAGAGCTATGTGTTTCTATCCTGTTTCCTTCACCATCTTCCTTAATGAACTTCGCCTACCACTTGACCTTTTGACTTTGGTTTTCTCATCTGTATTTTAAAAATGATCTCTAAAGCCCCTTTAAGTGTTGGCTTTCTATAATGTGAGAAACTCTGAGGTCTATTTGTTCTTTCTGACATATTCTTCTCCTACTGTGTCTCCCTTTCCCTATGATCAGTACATACAATTGAGATAATAGTATAAAATCCAGTATTCTTTTTGTGCTTATCAAGTGTCTACATGTGCTAATCAATCTGCATGCATTAATTTATGAAAACCTTCCCAAGGGTGAATGATGGAGGTTTTTAATGTATTTGAAAGGTCAGTGCTGAGGTTCTTGGTGATTTTACACTTCTTCCACAGGGGACGTTTGGCAGTGTCTGGAGACATTTTGGATTGTCACAGCTGGGTGAGGGGTGGTATTGTCATCCAGTGGGAGAAGCCACATATGCTGCTAAACGTCCTTTGGTGTACAGGACAGACCCCCACCCCATCGAAGAGTTAACTAACAATCCCAAACGTCAACAGTACCAAGATTGAGACCTGGCTTCCTGGGAGGCACGATTCCCATTCCCAATTTATGAAGAGCAAATTGAGGCACAGTGGGAGAGAGCAACTTGGCAAGGACACACCTCTGGTAAATGACAGAGCAGGGATTCGAACCCAGGTGTGTCTGACCCTGAAGCCCACACTCACGACTCCTGCACACACAGCCTGCCTTTCCGCTATTTACTAGAGAAAGTGGACACATTTTCACAGAATGTTTTTTTAACTAAAGCATAGAAAGTAACTGACCAGTTTTAAAAGTGGCAGCTCCCGCCTCACTTACCCTAGCTGTTAGATTATCTAGATTAAATTGGATCTCATTGATAGCATTTTTAAGTTCTGCCAGTTCAGCTTTCATTTCTGCCCTTAGAGACTGTGTTACCATTAATCGATTTCTCCATTCTAGCTATCGTCTTCATAACTGTTACCCTGAAGTCCATCTCTGACATCTTGGTTATATCCATATCCATTTGTAAATCTGTGGCAGAAGTCACAGTCTCTGACTCTTTCCTATTTTGGGGGTTCCTCCTCCTAGTCATTCTGTTGAGGGGTGGTTGAGGGAATGTACAGAGTCCAAATTATTGACCACAACCCAAGCGAGATGCACCCGTTTTATATGGACCTTAAGGTTGTCGGCCTCTTGTTCTCCCAGCCTGTCTTCGGGGGGGAGGGCCCTGCTGCGCTGTTACTCAGGCAACCCTGTTTGGGCAGAGTTGCCCTGTCCCCTGTGGGGGGGTGATGGGCTCAGTGGGAACCGGTTTTTTGGGGCTTTTGTTCTCTGGAGGCTTCTTCCGAGAGTCAAAGCAGAAGAGATCATTTCCAACCCTCTGCCTCAGAGCAGAGAGATCGCAGTCTGTTCTTCAGTGAGCTCTCCAGGCCACACCGTCTCCGTTTCTGTCCGTGCTGCTATAAACTGCAGTGTCCTGGGTTGTGTGCCCCTCAGCAGGGCTCCCAGTCCTCTCAAAAAATGGGCAGAAGACATGAACAGACACTTCTCTGAAGAAGACCTACAAATGGCTAACAGACACATGAAAAA